AGCAGTTTATATCCATCCATGATAGTACTCCAGTCATGTGAGTTATCCCACCAAGTCTCTGTTATTCCAGTCACATCATAGTTCCTTGACTGTGCCAGGACTTCCAGTTCTCCCTGCTTGTTTGTTTCCCAAGCTTCTTGCATTTGTGTATCGGCACTTAAGATAACTCGCTAATCGTCCTGCTTTCTCAGTATGAGACAGGAGTCCTCCCCTCTTGGTGTCTCTCCTGCTCGTGCTTCTTCCCGGTATCCCATTTCCCCACTTACCTCAGGGCTTTGGTCTCCTTCCCCCGGTGAACCTAGTTTAAAGCCCTCCTCACTAGGTTAGCCAGCCTGTTTGCGAAGATGCTCTTCCCTCTCTTCGTTAGGTGCCTAGCACTCCTCCTTCTTGGAACACCATCCCGTGGTCAAAGAATCCAAAGCCTTCTGTCCAACACCACCTGCGTAGCCATTCTTTGATTTCCACTATTCGGCGGTCTCTACCCAGGCCTTTTCCCTGCACAGGGAGGATGGACGAGAACACCACTTGCACCTCAAACTCCTTTATCCTTCTTCCCAGAGCCACGCAGTCTGCAGTGATCCGCTCAAGGTCATTCTTGGCAGAATCATTCGTGCCCACGTGGAGAAGCAGGAAGGGGTAGCGATCCGAGGGCTTGATGAGTCTCTGCAGTCTTTCTGTCACATCATGAATCCTAGCTCCTGGCAAGCAGCAGACCTCTCAGTCTTCCCGGACGGGGCGGCCGATAGATGACTCAGTCCCGCTGAGGAGGGAGTCCCCGACCACCACCACCCGCCTCCTTCTCTTGGGAGCGGTGGTCATGGAACCCCCATCCCTAGGACAGTGCATCTCATGCCTTCCAATTGGTGGAGTCTCCTTCTGCTCCCTTCCCTCAGATGTATCATCTAGTCCACTCTCCGCATTAGTACCTGTGGCGAGAACATGAAAACGGTTGCTCACCTGTATCTCCATTGCTGTTACATGGACGCTCCTCTTCCTTCTTCTGGAGGTCACATGCTGCCAAATTTCTTCACCATCCCTCTGTCCCCGCTGCTCAGCCTGCTCTGATTCTTCGATATCCCAAAGTGCTTTACAATAACAAGAACATATATCCCAGGAGTCTAGCAACTGCTATCAGTCTCCATCTACAGACATTGCACAGCCTAAGTTGATAAAATCTGTTTGATTATTGACCAGGTCATTAGAATTGAGTCCCAAGGGACTCAATTCTAAAGGGCCTTCAACCAAGTATTTATTTGTAGCTCTTCGTGAAAAATTAAATTCCTCCTGTACCTTGTATTGTGGCAACTAGCAGCAGGCACAGACCTCTGCTTAATGTCTCATCTGAAAGTTGCTGCTGCCTTTCCCCTCAGAACTGATTAGCAGGGTCCTTCTTGTGAATGGCCTTGCTTCTTGGTGGTTGTTCAGAGCCCTCTGCTGGAATTAGTTGGCTGAGGTGCTGATAAATGAAAGCGCATGTTCCAAGGAATCTGAAAAAACAGTGTCTGTTAACCATCAGTGGTGCTATCTGCAGATACTGTTGTGTCTGTCCCCCAGCAGGAGAATGAGGTGGAAGGCTTATCTTTAAAGGGGAAGTTTCCTTGCACTCTTCTCCATTGCTCTTTTCCTATTTTTTGCTTGTCTCTGTACCACCTATTTCCCAGCCATTGTATATGGGGTGCAATGTCCTTTCCCTCATGATCACCAGATTTCAACAGGTTTCAGAGTAGCAGCCGTGTTAGTCTGTATCTGCAAAAAGAAGAACAGGAGTACTTGTGGCACCTTAGTGACTAACAAATTTATTAGAGCATAAGCTTTCGTGGACTACAGCCCACTTCTTCGGATGCATATAGAATGGAACATGTATTGAGGAGATATATATACACACATACAGAGAGCATAAACAGGTGGGAGTTGTCTTACCAACTCTGAGAGGCCAATTAATTAAGAGAAAGAAAAAAAAAAACTTTTGAAGTGATAATCAAGATAGCCCAGTACAGACAGTTTGATAAGAAGTGTGAGCATACTTACAAGGGGAGATAGATTCAATGTTTGTAATGGCTCAGCCCTTCCCAGTCCTTATTCAAACCGGAGTTGATTACAAACACTGAATCTATCTCCCCTTGTAAGTATGCT